CCAGTAAGCCTGCAGGTGTGAGCCAGTTAAAAGAAAAGGCTTTGGCTAAATAGATTCTTTGACTGTCAGGGATTAGAGTCATGGCACCAGTGGTAACACACATCTTTTCCTTTAATTTACAAAATTTTCTCACGAGTTTGCAAGAGTTCACCCCATCAGGGGCTTTCTGAGGCCATTGAAATGTCTTAAGTTTTAATTAAGTTGGAGTTGTCAGAAGAAAGCTTTTTTGGCACAGAGTCAGGGTCATTAATTACTGCTATCTTTGTTTCTTTCAGAAAAAAGAACTCTACTGACTTGTTGGGTTTCTTATACAGCCTGCATTTTCTATCCTGCAGTCCTTATTCACCTCCAAGCAAGACTTGATTAAGCAGTTTACCAATTACTTCCATCAATCTGATTTATAAACCCTGTGGGTAATCTTAACTTTGGAAGGTTTTCTAAGTGTTGATTTGGGGTACAGTACTACTAAAAGCATGCATTTTTCTGCAGTTACAGAACATTTTAAAATTTTAGCTTTGTAATTCAAAATGGTACTTGGATCACACTTCTGATTTTATTTGCTTATATCTCTCCTCTTATATGACAGAAGTTGAATAGCTAATAATATTCAAAAACTGATCCTAGATTTATAATCTAAGAATTATTTTTAATTGGGATTATCACATGTCCCTAACACTAAAAAGATTACTGCTTTGTTTGTAGAGTATATAACTGATAATAGGAAGAACTATGATTACCTGAATGAAACTAAAAAAAGAAAAAATAACCCAAAGAAAAATAACCAACCCTTTTACTCTGTACTGACTCTTCAATAGCCTAAATAATAGGATTTTAGAGGGTAGGTTTCTTGCAGATATGTCCTGCATCATAAAAAGCCACCGCAATAACTAGCAGTAATTTACAGCATCATCGGAGATCACAACAGAAGGGGCATGGGCAGCAAACTATCCCCGCATTCCTATGTGTTTTGAAATACAATATTAAGCATCGTACTGCTCTGCACTACTTGCAGAATACTCCTTCTGTGAATAAATAAAAGAATTCAATTTCCATTGCTATCAATCCTGTGCTTCTGACAAGCATTCAATCCAGACAAAAATATCAATATAGATCTTTCAGATATAAATAAATCCTAATTTTACAAACATATGCTTTAAATGCCCTGTTAATTCCATGTTTTATATAGCACTGAGGTATTTTCACTTCGCAGCAAGAATGATAACAATATATCATGCTAAATACTCAACTTGTTCATTTAAATGAAGCTTGTTTTATCAAAATCCCCAAATTCCTAGAAGCCTGCAAAAGGCCTATGTTAAACTACATATTTTGTACTGTTTTTAATAAAAACATTGGCAAAATAATGTTTTTTCAGAAACCCTGACTTGGATTTCTGATTTATGGAGTATACTTTACCATTTTGAGCTACTCAGCTCAGCAAGTGGTTGCTCAGAGACAGCAAGACTTGAAATGTCTGTGGCATAGTATAAATTATTTTGATACTCCCTTGGGTTTTTACTTAATTTCTCACCCATTTACTGTACTTTGCATAAAATGGCAAAAGAAGATAGAAACTATTAAAAGCTAGGGAATACTAGAGCATATAAACTAGTTATGGAAAGTTAGGGTACCTCCAAAAAAGATGTGATCGTGAATTAGAGTAGGCATTTTGCACTCTCCATCTGTATATCTGTCAACTGGTCTCTAAATCTACTATCAGAAAAATAATGGTCTTACAAAAATGAAGCTCTTAATTTGGTATGTATTACAAACCCATATTATAAAGGCTCTTAAAGCTAGTTGCCTCTCTTTTATAATTTATATACATTTTATTCGTGATGTGCACTATTTGCCATACTGCCAGGCAATCACATTGTTCTTTGATGCTGTTTTCATTGTTATCATCTTATTCTTATATATCTCTAATGCTATAATAACAAAAATACTCAAATCCAGAGCAGATGTGTTTGTGCCCATGGGATGAATATATTATGGATATACAGCTGTCATCATACCTCTGAAATTCTTATTCGCCACATGCCAATCACATTTCAGTCATTCGAGCAGTTTATACCTGTGGCTTGTTGTTGGCAGTGCACTTGATTGTAGTGGGAGACTCCCAGATTCAAGATTTACAGATTGAGTCTCTTCTCCATATGTTTGCAAGGCTGCTATTGACATTAAGGAGAGTTACCGTATGTGCACATATGGAGCTGTGAATAAACACTTCATAAGTTTGATTTTTTTCTCTCCTCAGGTGAGTACTGTGTACTTCACCCAGCCTTTCCAGGCCTTGCATTTGCTTTTATAAATTTATCAGTAATTGAATCCATGTCCCTTGTTAAAATGTGCTAAAGTAAAAATGCACAAAAATGAATGTTAATAAAAACAGAATAATATCAAAAAACCTTTGAGGGGCTTATGTGTTTTATTGTGCAGACAAATGGACAACTGCTAAATCAAATCCAAGAAATAAGAAACTTTGAAGGCTAATCTGTGA